CAGGAACCGCCTGCCCTGAGACACAGGCCGGCTTGTGAGGTTCTCCTTCTCCCTGGGGGTCAGACTGGTCAGAAACCACGAGAAGGGGGAGCAATCAAAGGCGCCGGCGTAAAGGGGGGGGAGGGAAGAGGGGGGGGGGGGGCAGGTGGAGGGGCTTGAAGGCGGGGAGTCATGAATCAGCCACCCCATTAACCTCCATTACAGCATGATAATTGCTCTTCAGAATAAACGTCCATAGCACTATTCACTCGAAAGTCCCTTAAGAGGCTCCTTGTTCCATGCTGAGACGTGCAAAAACCACACAAGCTTGCACACGCATTGTCACGCATTCTCACACAACCCAACCCACCTGAGAATGCTCTTCAGTGCTTCTTGGCTCAGAGCTGCTGCAGGCTTCGCCCTCCTCTTGCTGCTCTCACTGCCCGAGTGCCCAGCACCCTGCAGTACCTGCCGGGACCGCCGCACGTTGTTCCTAAAGAGAAAGGCGGTCGAAAGGTTCCTGTAGGGCGTGATTATAAGGAGAGAGAAGGGCAGCGGAATAATTTTGGTAACGGATGGTAGTGAACAGCACCTGCCGGGACCGCCGCACGTTGTTCCCATAGAGGAAGGCGGTCGAGAGTTTCTTCTGGGTTGTGATTGTACAGAGAGAATGGCGGTGGAAGGATTGTGGATTTAGAGCTCGTTGCGACGTTGTTCTTATAGGAAAAGGTGAACGAGACGTTTGCCAGCTAGCAGCCTACCAGCTAGTACTAGCTAGCAGGCTACCAGCTAGCAGGCTACCAGCTTGCAGGCTACCAGCCAGCAGGTTACCAGCTAGCAGGCTACCAGTTAGCAGGTTACCAGCTAGCAGGTTACCAACAAGCAGGATACCAGCAAGCAGGCTACTAGATAGCAGGCTACCAGCTAGCAGGCTACCAGCCAGCAGGCTACCAGCCAGCAGGTTACCAGCAAGCAGGTTACCAGCAAGCACTACCCTGCGAATGACTATAGAATGCCCATTCAAGGAGAGGCCACTCACCCGCCATCCAGTTCCAGGCGGCTTGGCTTCATCTTCTGGTACGCTGCTGCAATGTGGCAGTCGCAGTACTCCGCAAGGGTTCTGGCAGTAGAGGGTACGGTTGGGATGGGCGGGAAGGAAGGGATTTGACGGGATGGGACGGGATGGGGTGGGATGGGATGGGATGGGATGGGGTGGGATGGGATGGGATGGGATGGGATGGATGAGGTGAAATGCAGCGACAAGGGGGTCCATCTTCTGATATGGTGCCAAAATGTGGCGGTCACAGTACTCTGCGAAGGTTTCGGGGGTAGGGTGCACAACTCAATCACAGTTATTGCTCAATACGGCCTGACATACCGAGTGCTTCTAGCGAATGATTCCAGACTTTAAAGAAGGTACGTACTTGTTTCAAGAAAGTACGGACTTGTTTCAAGAATGTACGTACTTGTTTCAAGAATGTACGCACTTATTTCAAGAAGGTACGTACTTGTTTCAAGAAAGTACGGACTTGTTTCAAGAATGTACGTACTTGTTTCAAGAATGTACGCACTTATTTCAAGAAGGTACGTACTTGTTTCAAGAAGGTGCGTACTTGCTTCAGAGAAAGTACGCACTTGTTTCAAGTCGGTACGTACTTGTTTACAACAGCCTGGCATGGCTCATTGCTTTCTGTGACCCCCTTGCAGATGCCGAAATCCCTCGCTGTGCCAAGTGGCAGGATTTGATTGGCTCGGAACACATGGAGAGACGGTGGGAGATTCTGCAGCGGCAAGGAGTGAATGGGAGTGGGTGAGTGAGAACGGGTATTAGTGGTCAATCGTGAGTGATCGTCCAACGCTGTAGCAAAAAAGGCCAATATCAGACACCATAGGCCCTTTGCTACTTCGCTTTTTTTCTAAAGCTCCCTGCACTCACCCCCTTTGGCGGGTTGGCCTCTGCTCCTAAGACCGCCACCACCGTCCCTCTGTCTTGCCTGCAATACACGTCAAACGCCGCTCCAAACAGAAACAGCGTGACCTCCTCCATCCCCCGCCCCTCCCACCTCCCCCTCCCCCCCCTCCTCCTCTCCCTCCGCCCTGGCCTCCCCCTAAAGCACCGGAGAGAGCAGTGAGTTTCCAGGAGACGAAGGGGCGGGAGGAAGAAGAGGGCTTGGTGGTGGAGGTCCCGGATATGACGGCGATGGTGGCCCATGCGCCCGACAGCTGGCTCCTCCCACCAATCAGAGCAGAGCTGGGGAAGAGCACACGGGGAGTACGAAGGTGGTGGGTATTTGGGCAGGGTTTAAGGGGAAGGGGGGGAGGAACAGACAATAGAAAAAAAACTAAGCACGCCTGGGAAACCTGCATTTGGAGTGGCTGAATTCCAACAATGGAGGTAGGCATGAGGCATGGTGCGAGGAAGCATGACTCTAAAGAATGTTTCTCTATGGGAAGTGCACAGAGGCATGGCATATGGCACAGGCAAGGGATGGCCTCTCACGGGATGGCTTCGAGGCGAAGAAAGCGGATGTCGGCCAGCTTCTGCCTGAGCACTGGCGCAGAGATGAAACGGTTCCTGGCAGGGGGGTGAAACGCAAACAGGAGACTTTTGAGTCGACTCAAAGGTCGCCTCGGCGCAGAGATGAAACGGTTCCTGCCGGGGAGGAGAGTAAGAGCGAGGCGAACCGGGAAGCGCACACAGAGGTGAGAGTAAGAGCGACGGTAGCAGCCCCAGGAAAACATGGCAACCGGCATCACGCAAACTCTTAAAGTGCTTTTGAGGCGCCTCAAAAGCACATGGCAACCGGCATCACGCAAAGTCTTAAACTTAACCAAGCCATACACACCATGCTCATGCCCCACTTATCCCTTAATACCGTTTGCCATTCTATTGTCAACGAATGAGCCATGCCTGATCTCAAACCTTTTGACTCACCTGAGGCGAATGCCGGACTGCTCCTCCGCGTCTCTCACATCCCACTCCCTCGCTCTCTTCGCTGCAACCTCTACCATTTTTTAGGCGCCTCAAAAACTGAGACGATTTTTGAGGCGCCTCAAAACACGTCTCTCACATCCCTCTCCCTCGCTCTCTTCGCTGCAACCTCTACACTGTTCCCATGCCAAGGTGCTCTCGTTGCCACACCGCATCAAGCACGGTGATCTCCTCAAGGAGCGTTGAAGAGTGATCTTTGAACTCACCTGAGGCGAATCCCGGAGTGTTCTTCCACATCCCCCAGGTCCCTCTCCCTCGCTCTCTTCGCTGCCCCCTCAACCATGTTTACGGCTGCCGCCGTCCTCCCCACTGGTTCCCCTTCGCCTGGTACCCCTCCAGGTGATACCTCGCCGTTTGCTGTCACTCCTCCACCTCTCACCCCTCCTTCTCTTGTCACCCCCCCTCCTTTCCTTAATCCTTCTCCTGTGCCTCCTGCTGCTGTCACCGGCTCTGCTGCTGTTGTTGCTGCTGTGGTTGGCACTTCGGCTGCAACAGGGTCTGATCCTGTTCCTCCTGCTGATGTTCTTGCTGCTGCTGCTGTTGTTGCCGCTCCTGTAATTCTTGCCAGTGTTGTTCCTGCTGCTGCTGATGTCCCTGCTGCTGCTGATGGCCCTGCTGCTGCTCTGGCTGCTGCTGCTGTCGTTGCTGCCGCTTTGGTTGCGGTCGTTGTAGACGCTGCTGCTGTTACTGTGGCGGTCGTAGCTGCTGCCATGGTTGCTGCTGCTGCTGCTGCTGCTGCTGCTGCTGCTGCTGTTGTCACCGATGCTCCTGCCGGCCGTTCCCATCCCACAGCCGCGCTGGCTGGAGCGACAGCCGAAACCACGTTGGAAGCAACGGTTGGAGACACGTTAGAGCGTTTAGAAGCAGAATACTTATCGGCACTGGGAACCGACTTGCTGCCCGATTTGTTGCCCGATTTACTGCCTCCAAACTGAAACCCTGCATTAGATCTACCAACGCCTCTGACATCATTAAATAAGACGCTTCCTGAACCTCCCGAGCTCCTAAATAACGTATTTCCCGAGTCAGCAACTTTCTGCTGTCCGGCAGAACCCGAGGGGTTCCCATTGATGCGGCGACCAAAGCTGCTGCTAGTGCCTTTCCCCCCGCCGGCCGTGCTGTCTGTATTCGAGTTCTTGCCGCCACGGCCAGCGACAAATGGTAAGTTCGGAGCACGGTTAGTGCCGGCAGGGAACCGCGCAGAGCCCGGCGGAGCCGAAGTGAACCGCGCAGAACTCGAAGGAACCGAAGTGAACCGCGCAGGGCCCGGAGGAGCGGCAGTGAACCGTTTAGAGGCGGTACGCAAGGAGGAGGACTGCGGAAAGGTAGCACCGGGCTGCGAGGAAACAATTGAGGAGACGTTTTCCGCGACGAAGCATTTGAAAGCAGACATGTCGGCAGGCCCTGACGGCAGCTCGTCCTCGCTGTCGTATTCACCCGGATGATCTCCACCGTTCGATGCGGGACGGCCGTTACCTAGAAAATCATAACCGTCCGCATCAGCATCAGCGGCTAGACCTGGTGCGGTGGGAGATCCTAGCTGGTCGATAATTGGGGCCTGATGAGCCATAGTCGCTGCGTTGATTGGTCCTTTCCCTAGGCCAAAGTCTAACCTAGCTTACGGGACAACGCTGCACGAAACACTCAAAGCTCTCCTAAGTCACAATCGCCAACGGAAGCAGGATGACAATAATTCCGAGGCTGAGGCTGACGCTGAGGCTGACGCTGAGGCTGTCAGATAATTCTCGTCTTTGAATGAAGACTAAAAATACTTTTGAAACTGTCTGGTGCGGATAACGCACCTGCCTGAGCCTAGGTGTGACGGACTGGGAGTGCTCGAACAGGTCTTGGAAAACCGAAATTCAAATTTGAACTGCCATAATTTGGGCGAACTCCGGCCAATGATGCGAGGCGTCGTCGGCAATGTCAAATGCATCGCAATCGTTCAGGACGCCCCTCGTTCCCTTCGCTCGTCATCTCGTCCGTCGGCATTCGCCAGCCTTTCCGGCTGGCGAAACGGCGGCTTCAGCGTGAAGTCAATTTTTTACTACACCTGAGCTCAACTGTATACATGTGAGAAACAACGAGCTGCATAATTTAGCAGGCTATTGGCCTTCTCCTACGATTGCAACAAACAGAGCATAGAAGGCAAGCATAAGATGCTAGATCCTGGATCCTGTATATCCATGCGCCCTGCACATAACAAGAAAGGACGCATCAGTATAATATATAGCATCCGAGCTTGCTATTAGAGAAGAAAATAGAAAAGATGGTGATGCACGAAGGACAGTGGCAGAGGGACAGAACAGAAGACTGTAAATGGGACATCATGCTTGTATGCCCTTGTTCAATGGATACCTCAGGAGAATAGTGCCCAGCCAACAAAGGGGCTTGTTCTTGGGACCCATTGGTGGCATCTCCACGCACATATCTCTGCATGTGTGTGCACCGGGTTACAAACCAGACAGGGAAAACAAAAAGCGCAAATGGCACATGAGCAAGTGTGGAAAGTGAACATGCTGACAATACGGGCAACATGAAGCTGAGCAGTGAAATTTATGTTCTTGGACCCTGGGAGGAGAAATAGGAAGAAGAATGTGAAAGTACCTGGAATTCAGCCACATAGACTTCCTGCTTCCGCGTTTGCAGTGATCCAGGCCTGCACACAAGCAGCAAACAGGAGGTGAGTAACGAGTGGCAAGCAGTAGCCAATAGGAAGGTGTGAGGTGCGACAAACGCAACAGACTAATATCCCATAAAAGCTTAGTTTTGTCCAGCATGTGAAAAAATAGAGCATGCTTCAAGCCTTTCACATGATACCTCATCGCTCGCACAACAGCCACAGCCTGCAACAGCAAAGGAGAGAGAGGAACTGCAGACGTCATTTTCCAGAATTCTAAATAAAAACGACTCCACTCTGGATGTCACTATGAGCATGTGATTACAGTCAGCAGCAAAAAAAACGAAGGCTTGCAGGAGAGGGATTAATCAGTGACGAGTGCATGGAGGGGACCCAAGGGAGGGTCTTACATCAGCAGCCGCCAGAGAATTTGCTGCGACTAAGTAACATGCGATGACAAGGCCTGTCCTCCCTGCAGAATCAAAAGGGCTATGTCACACGCATGGCATACGAGCTTGCGAGATTGTTAGAGCATAAAACGAGTCGAGTGAATTCCTTAGCGGCCGCTTTGCTTACCCAGGCCAGCATGACAGTGAACAGCAACCTGCAGGGAGGAACAAATATGATATCATCAGCAGGCAGCCTGGAGACGAGGCATGCACACAGCATGCCTGCTATACAATAGTTGCACTCGAGTGCTGATTTCATCAGATTGCACACCTTTTGGCGCCGTCCAATGAAAACGGAGATGCTCTGAACGATAGAGAGCATGGTTGGGAATGGCGGGCATGCCATGTCCTTCCAGGGCACGTGGAGGTAACCCACTGGTCACACGGCGATGGATGGCACGGGGATTTCAGTTAACACAGGACTGCTTGAGAGTGAGAGAGGGAGAAAGTGAGTTCTGAACAAGAGCTATGCTTCAGCATGAGCAACTGCGGACCCGCAGACTTGATAAAGAGCTCTTGAGTGTAGGAGAAGCCTGATGCTCTGATCCCTGACCCGCACCATCTTGGTGTAGGTGTTCTTTGAAAAGACTATTAATCAGGTGCATGCACAGAGCAGCAGCTGACCTCCAGCCTTGATGAAGTTGTCTGGAGTGTAGGAAAAGCCCGACGCTGTGATCCCTGGCCCACACCATGGGTGCTCCCCTGGTTCCTGTGAGCATGCACGGAAAACATTGATCGCATTTTTCAGTATGTTCACGAAGACATAACTTTTAAATCGACTTAAAAGCCTGGTCGTGCATCGAGGACATGGACTGCATCACGGGCATGGGGTGTAGAGCAGAACTGACCTAGCACAGACATTTTATCACATATTGGCCTGCGGTATGCAAGGAGCATGGCACCTACTTGACTCATGCCTTTATACAGAGCATAGTGTACCTCCACTTACACCCATCTGCACCTCCACGTACACCCATCCGTACCTCTACGTGCACCTATCTGTACCTCCACATCCACCCATCTGTACCTCCACATCCACCCATCTGTACCTCCACGTGCACCCATCTGTACCTCCACATCCACCCATCTGTACCTCCAGGTTCACAATGAACCCGATACCCTTTGCATTGAATTTCTCTGCCAATCCGTCTTCGACCATCGCGCCCGTGGGTCTCGCACACGCCAGCAGCTCGTTGGTCACCCAGCTGGATGCAAGAGACCACGCGTCACACCAGCATTCCTACACTCCCAACCGTCTGTACCTCCAGGTTCACGATCAGCCTGATACCATTCGCGGCGCATCCAGCAGCACACCATCATTCCACCACTCCCAACCCAACCGTCTGTACCTCCAGGTTCCCTTTCTGCCTGATGCCTCTTTCAACCGTCTGTACCTCCAGGTTCACGATCAGCCTGATGCCTCTTTCAGCGAATCTATGCGCCAATCCGTCTTCGATCATGGCGTCCGTGGGTCTCGCGCACGCCAGCAGCTCGTTGGTCACCCAGTCGGAGTGCAAACCTCGAAACGCCTCCTCGCCGTTCTGCAGCCGGAAGTCCTCGTGCCGGCAACCGGAGGGGGAGCCTAGGCCTTCCAGGAAGCAGACTATCCGATCAGTGATGCCGTTCTCTTTCCAGGAAGGAGCTGAGGATCCTTCAGACGTCTCAAAAATGCGATCAGTGGCGCCGTTTTCTTTCCAGGTAGACGCAGTAGAACACGAGGAGCGGGTGTCGGTAGTCATGGTTTCGAAACGAAACTCTCTATTGTGGGAATTCGGAAGGAAATATCGGCGCGATGCAAATTTGACGATAAGTGGTTACTGTGGTCGTCAGGCGGCTATCTCCGACGTGAAATGCTACTGTCGGATAACTGCTCGCGGACTTGCTAACTGACGGCCTGGTAAACCGTCAGTGACGGTTTCAGCTTCTGGCTGGACTCACATGTGATGCAATTTGCCGGCCAGCCACGTCAGCTCCGCATGTGTGTGAGAATTCACTGTAAGAATATTAAATATCAGGAAAGTGCAACCTACGACGGAGGCGATTGGTACGTAAAAATCAAGATAATGACGGAGGAGACTGGTAGTGGAATTCGACCTATTACGAGGTTGAGTCAGAGTGAAAGAGCTCGTCTCTCTGGTTCTTAGCCTTCCACAGAGAGCTCCATTTGGAGCGGCGAACAAAGGATACTGACAAGGAAAATGCACCTAGTCGCGGCGTCAGCTAAGAGTTGTCCGAAACTCTGTGGACTTCAGGGATCATGGCGTCCGCTTCCTTGCAGGAAACCAGGAAACCAGTTCTCAGAGTCTGACAGGACTTAGGCTGACGGATTTCTTAGGGCGTGTCACAAGCGATCACTTTAACACGGTTAAATGAGGTGATTTGAATTTCTGTACGTTTTGTAACTATCTAGATTGGTTGGGTAGGGTTTCGAGCGAAAATGAACACTTCTGACGCCCTAACTGGCAATACAGTAGTGCTGTTGTTGAAACAAGATCAACGGTTGATGACGGTTGATGTCAGGGACTGTCCAAAGTAAAACAAATTGTGACGTCGCGGGACGTCACAGGAAGGTAGAGTACCGTCTTCGTTGTTTTAAGAACGGTTCGAGAGAATAAAATATCGGTTCTGCGACGTCCCGAAACCTCATGCTCTACTTCGCACACCCCCTCACTGGGGGTCCCATGAGTACTTCCCCCGGTACGTTCTATACGTTCCAGTTTGGTGACTAAAGGTTCAGAGCGGTGAAGCTCGAAAACCGGTTCTAGACTTGTCGCACCGTACAGCACCGCGTACATTGCACATAAACCATCCTGTTCGGACCCAACCTCGAGGTATTCTGTAGGGTGGACGGATTTGTGCTGGCGCAAGCGCCTACGAACTTGATGGTGAGGTTTGTATGGTCAGGTACGGAACCATACCTGCGTGCCTTTTTGCTTGTTGTCCACTCAGGTGCGTTCAGACAACCCGAGGCACGGCATGCTGGTCTCGAGGTTTGGAGCTTGTGGCCTGTGCTTTGGTCCGCCTGCTGGTAACTCAGTATGCAAATCGGTCTGGTTCGGTTCAACTTACCAATTCGTTCTACTTTGGGATTGTAGCATTTTCTCCTGAATCCGCCCTCACGCTTATATAAGTTATCGAGGAATCTGCCAACGGGGATTTCAGAACATCATTGCAGACCTCCTAGTACTGAGCTCCTACACATGCCTTGGGTTCCTACACGTGCCTTGGATTAGAGTGGCACGTGCCTCACATGCAGAAATCGCATGAATAGGGGATTGTATACATACAGGGAGATTAGAAATCGCGTGAGAAAGTAGCCCGTTCTGGGATCACATCAGTCATGGCTGTAACAGTCGCAGCCGGGTGACGATTGAGTCGGCTCCTAAGTCCTAAGGCAGGGAGAGTAGAAATCACGTGAATTCGCCGCTCGCTCCGGGATCACATCAGTCATGGCTGTGTCAGTCGCAGCGGAATGGACGGAGCTCTCGAACTGCTTTTATCGCGTACAGCCTCTGCCAGACCTGCAATGGCAGGTGAAGAAAACATGTTACCTTCCTCTTATATCGAGGACTAGCGCTTCGCACATTAAGAAGGCAACGTTTTCCGCTCTTTGATGCTTGTTCCAGCCCGTTGACCCCCAAAACGTGGACCTATCAAAACTCATCGCCCCCATTTGACAAAGCGCGGACCTTCTTGCCCCTCTCCCCCCTTCCCATCGTCCCCCCCTCCCCCCCCCCCCCCCCCTCTCCCCTCTTTCCCCCCGGCCCCCTCCTCTTCCCCGCCCCCACACCTTCCCCCCACCCCCCTCCTCTTCCTCCCCCCCCTCCCATCCCATCCCATCCCCAAGGACGTGGACCTATACGAGCTCACAGTCGGCTTCCTCCCGCCCCACCTCCCCCTCCCCGCTTTCCACAGGACGTGGACCTATCAGAGCTCATGGTCGCCTGTGCGCCCTACTGCGGGCCAATCGCCACCGTCCGCGACCCCAACCACCTTCCCAGGCGCGGCAGTGGCGCAGGTTCGGCAGCAGGTTCGGCAGCCCAGGCTCGGCAGTACATATCAGTGTTTTCAGCAGCTGGACGGCCGATCTCGAGATTCCTGTGGGAGCCGCCGGGGGGGAGGCTGATGGGGTTGGGGTGGAGGGAGGATGCTGTGGGGGGGCTGGTGCTTGTATCGGTGCTTGAAGACGGCACTGTTCATCAGGTGAGATTATAATGAAGGGGTTCTTTTGATTTCTTGACTACAGATTAATGGAGGCTGATGGGGTGTTGGGGTGGAGGGAGAGAAGATGCTTCACCAGGTGCGATTGTAACGAGGAAACCTTTTACAACTTCCTTGTAAGTTGACTGCAGAATCATCCGGCTATTATAGTCTCCTCTCTCTTCCCCCTCCCTCCCCCCCCCCCGCCTTTCCTCCCTCCTCCCCCCTCCCTCCGCCCCCTTCTTCCACCTTCCCTCCTCCCCCACATCAACCCACAGTGCTCAATGCATGGGAAGGGACTCTCCCCCGCATCCCCCTGCACACAAACAACCTCGAAGGAATCATAGAGGCAAACATATTCTCCCTTCTCCGCTCCCCCCTCACTCCTCCCCCCTCCCCTTTCCCCCCACCCCCCACCCCCCACCCCCCACTGCCTGCAGTGCTCAATGCATGGGAAAGGCACTCTCCCCCGCATCCCCCTGCACACAAACAACCTCGAAGGAATCACAGAGGCCCACATATTCGGCATGAGAGGAGGAGGCGGGGCAGGAGAGAGGAAAGGAGATGGTACTGGGGGGGAGGCAAGTGGCGGGAAAGGGGAAGGAGGGGGAGGGGCTGTGGTGGCGGGCGTGGTGTGCTTGACTGAGAGCTGCCAGCTACTAGCGATGGTGGACTTTGATGTGAGTATTAAGGGGGACGTTCGTGTGGTGGTTGATGTGAGTATATACGGGGGTTAGTGGACTTTGATGTGAATATACGGGGGTTAGTGGACTTTGATGTGAGTATACGGGGTTTGATGGACTTTGATGTCAGTATACAGCGGTTGGTGTACTTTGATGTCAGTAGAGACTTGTGATGGTTGTTAGTAGTGTTACTTGAGCATGCCAGTCGAATCAGTTATGCAGTGCCGTGCTGCTGCCCACCCCACTTCTCTACCCTCACAGCTACCCAAGGTCGTCCCCTTGGTAAACCCGGGGTCGTCTGTGCCATTGATTGTAAACCCCCCCCAACCCCCCCCCCTCCCCACCTTGAATTCGACACCCCCCACCTACCCACCCCTTCCCCCTTCGCACCTTTCTCACTGGTGCCACCCGGCTTGTCAGAGCCATTGACGGTGTGACATGCTCCCCTCCCCTTGCTTCACGTCGCGCCACCCAAACCCACGTCTCCTTCCTCCCCCCCCCCACCCCCACAGGAGCCCGAGGTCTTCCCACTGGCGGACCCCGGCTTGTCAGAGCCATTGACGGTGTGACATCCTCCCCTCCCCTTGTTTCACGTCGCTCCTCCCAAATCCCCTTTTCCTCCCCCCCCACCACACCCCCACAGGAGCCCGAGGTCTTCCCACTGGCGGCCCCGGGCTTGGCAGAGTCTTCTGCTCCCCATTCTAATCCCCTCGAACCCCTCCTCGTTCGCTTCCCACCAGGAGCCCGAGGTCTTCCCACTGGCGGACCCCGGCTTGACAGAGCCACCAGCCTGCATGGCTGTGCTGGAGCCTGTGCTGACGTCAGCGGATGACGTCGGCACTGCCCAGGTGGCGGTGCTGCTAGGAACGGAGGCTGCTCTGCTGAGAGTGGACGGGGAGACAGTGCAACGCGTGGTGAGTGGAGGGGGCGGGGGGAGAGGGGGGGGGGGGAGGTGAGGGAGGTTAGAGGGAATGGGGAATATTAGTGGTGAGAAAGGAAAGGCGGGGGGGAGAGCATGGGGCGGGGCTGCTTGGAACGGAGGCTGCTCTGCTGAGAGAGGACGGGGAGACAGTGCAACGGTTGGCGAGTGGTAGGAAGGGTTGAGTTGACTTAAAGGGAGGATTGGACTTCAGGTCACCATGTGGCAGTAGATCTCAGGATTCTAGCAGTGGGGCTCAGGCAGTATTTAGGCGCCTAAAAAATCTGGCAGTGGGGCTCAGGTAGTGTGTTGCTTGGAACGGAGGCTGCTTTGCTGAGAGTTGATAAATTTCAACAGGTGATGATTACACGTGTGGTGCGGTGGGACCGTGGGAAACAAGGGGGGGGGGGGGGGGGATACGCGGTGCTGAGTGGAATGGAATAGCCTTGTTGAGAGTTCAGGGTTTAGGGATTAGGGGGTTTCGGGGTTTAATGTTACCCCTTCCTCACGTTGCCTCCTCCTCCCTATAGCTCTTACCACTCCCTTTCCACCTCTCTTCACCCACATCCCTCCCCACACACTCCCCACACACTCCCCACACACTCCCCACCCCACACACTCTTCTCCCACACTCCCCCTTCCTCTCCTCTCCTCACCCCCTCGCAGGGCGCTCCAGAGATGGCAACAGCAGTGCAGTGCATGGCAGTGTCTGCTTCCGGGAAGCTTCTGGCCTGTTTCACGGCTGATGGGCAGCTGCATGTGCTGCTGACGTCAGACCTCACCAGGCGCATCTCCCACTATGACACTCAGGTGGGTGAGTTGGGTTTATACACTCGGATGGGTAGAAGCTCCTGGGCGAATACACTCACCTGGCCAGCTGCATGTGCTGCTGACGTCAGACCTCTCCAGGCGCATCTCCCACTATGGCACTCAGGTGGGTGGGTTTACACACCCACACTTAAATAATCACTTGGGTAATACACCCACGTGGCCAGCTGCATGTGCTGCTGACGTCAGACCTCTCCAGTCGCATCTCACTTTATGACACTCAGGTGGGTGGCACCGTGGGCTACTCACACGTTGAGGCTCAGGTGGGGGGGTCAATACACCCACACTTTTGTAATCACTTGGGTACTATACCCACGTCGGCAGCTGCATGTGCTGCTGACGTCAGACCTCTCCAGGCGCATCTACCACTATGACACTCAGGTGGGTGGTTTTTTACACCCACACTTCTATAATCACATGGGTCATACACCCATGTAGCCAGCTGCATGTGCTGCTGACGTCAGACCTCTCAGGTGCATCTCACAGAATGATACTCAGGTGGGGGGGGGGGGGGGGTACTCACACGTTTAGGCTCAGGTGGGGGGTTACTCACATGTTTAGGCTCAGGTGGGGGGGTTAACACACTCTGTTTGGCAGAAACGCCTGGGTTTTTTTTCTGCCGGGTGGGCAGTTGCATGTGCTGGTGCCGACACACCTCTCTAAGGCAGATCTTGACATGACATGGCATGGCATGGCATGGCATGGCATGGTGTGGTGAGGCGAGGACGCAGTGCTGCTATCCTGGCAAGACTCCCCCGCCCTCATGCTGGTGGGTGGGGCCAGCCAGGCGATGCCATCAATCAATCAAGTACTCTTCTGTCCATGCCCTTGCATTGCAATTTGCACCCCTCTGTTTCCCCGTACTTACATACCCTCCCTGCTTGCAGCTCGTCCTACCATCGGACGACATGGTGTGGTGTGGTGAGGATGCAGTGCTGCTATCGTGGCAGGACCCCCCTGCCCTCATGCTCGTGGGGCCAGGCGATGCCATCAAGTACTCCCGTCTCCTCTTGACCCCTTGTACCCTCCCCCCTCTCCTTCTGCCGTGCATACTCTCCCTTCCTCACAGCTCGTCCTACCACCGGACGACATGGCATGGTGTGGCGAGGACGCTGTTCTTCTCTCCTGGCAGGACCCCCCCGCCCTCATGCTCGTGGGGCCAGGCGATGCCATCAAGTACTCCCTGGGGGTCGAGGACGAGGAGGACGAGGAGGAGGAGGAGGAGGAGGGGGACGAGGGAGATGTGAAGCCCTTTGGCTCGGCGGCTATTCGCAGGTAGAGCTCTTTTGCCTCACTCACAGAGACGCTTTTCTGCGTGTCTTTTGAGTCGACTCAAAAATCGTCTCACAGAGACGTTTCTTTGCGTGTCTCTTTTTTCTGTCTGCTCCGCTCCGCCTGCTCTTCTCCTCTCACTCTGAAATAGTCTCACAGAGACGCTTCTTTGCATGTCTCTTTGGTGGCTTTACCCTCGTCTTTCTGCCCCCGCCCATGCCCATCAAAGCTGTGCCCCAGCCCTGGCGTCAGCGCTTGACACCACTCGTCGTCGACTGATCCTCACTCCACAGTGCGACAGCGTTCGCCTGCTCTCCTCCTCGCTCTCTGACTTCATCTCCCAGGAGCCTGAGCTCACCGTGGCAGCCTTTGCCCTGGCCAGCACCCCCAAACCCCCGCCCCCCCCCCCGCCCCGCTCTCTCCTGGAGGCGTTTGACCTGTTTGACCTGTCTGGCTCTTTAGACTTCTTTCCTTTTCACCTTTTCTGCTGCTTCCCTTCCGCCCTCTTTCTCCCTTTTCCTGTCCCCCCCAGTGCACCAGCCCCAGTATCAGCTCTTCTCGCAGAAAGCTCTCAGATCAGAGCCGCCTTATCCTCATTCCTGAATGCGACGCCTCTCCTCCTCCCTCTCTGCCTTCAATCTTCTGCCCTTCCCTGTCCTTCGCAGTGCACCAGCCCCAGCATCAGCTCTCCACGCTGAAAGCGCTCAAGGCCGCCTCATCCTCATCCCAGAGTGCGACGGCGTGCGCCTGCTCTCCTCCTCCCACTCCGACTTCATCTCTCGGGTCCCCGAGCCCACAGTATCAGCCTTTGCCCTGGCCAGCACAGCGCCCCCAGCGCTCCTCCTGGAGGCGTTTGACCTGTTCGAGAGGCGGTCGGCCAAGGCGGACGAGCACGTGCGGGCGATGGGGGTTGGGGTGATGGGGGCGGCGGTGCATGCATGCATGGATGCTGCTGCGCACGAGGTCGACCTGGATGGCCAGAAGAGGCTTTTATCCGCTGCAGCCTTCGGAAGGGCATTCTGCAGGTTAGCTAGTCCTCCACCACTCCTCCATCCGCCGCTCTCCCCCACTCTCCCCCGCTCTCCCCCGCTCTCCCCCGCTCTCCCCCGCTCTCCCCCGCTCTCCCCCGCTCTCCCGCTCTCCTCCTGGAGGCGTTATAGTCATCCCTAACAAGTCCCCTTTGTCTCACCTGCAAGAGAATCTAGCAGCAAGGGGCACTATTGTGGGAGAGTTTCAGAATGATCAAGAGCAAGCGAGGGACGAGCTAAGGCGGAGGGAGGCTGACGGAGACAGGCTGGCTGGGCTAGAGGCAGGCAGTGAGTGAGTGAGGTAAGGGTCCAACCTTGCCCCAATCTCACTCACCGCCTGCAGTGGGCTCTCCCACTGTAGTGCAGCCCAGCCAGCCTGTCTCTGTCAGCCTCCTTCCGCCTTAGCTCGCCCCTCGCTTTCTCTAGATTCTTCCAAAGCTCTCCCACAGTAGTGTCCCTTGCTGCTAGAAGCTGTAGCAGTTGGGATAGTGGGTCTTGCTCCCCCTATTGTGTTTTTTTCTTCAGGCCTCGTTGTGCTGCAAGCTCACAGCGGTGCACCATGCATGAGGAGTCTGTTTTTGAGGCGCCTCACAACTAGACCCCCTATAAGGTTATGTCTTTTTTTGAGGCGCCCCACAACTAGACCCCCTCTAGTGTTATGTCTTTAGGCCTTGTTGTGTTGAAGCTGCAGTGCAGCAGACTCACACCCGTGCACAGGCACTGCACCCCTCCCTCAACCACATCCTAGGAAGTTTCCTTGCGACCGCATGATGGGTCTGTGCAATGATCTCCGACTCCGAGTGCTGAACGCCGCTCTCTCATTAGGCCCTGTGAATACTATTCCCCAAACGCACACCCTTGTCCCCCCCCTTATAATCACCTCCCAGGAAGTTTCCTCGTGATCGCATGATGAGTCTGTGCAAGGACCTGCGAGTGCTGAATGCAGTGAGGCGGGCGGAGGAGGATGGGCTCACCAACGGGATGCGCGCCATGGAGATGGCTGGCATGCCACTTACCTACTCCCAGTACAAGGTGCGTGATTGGGTTGGTACTCGGGGCGTAAATATCGAAGTGAGGGAATGTGATTATGTGATGAGGCGCGTGAAGGAGGATGGGCTCACCAACGGGATGACGGCAATGGAAACAACAGCCAGCATGCCAATCGCACCTGCTCAGTACATAGGTGTGTGCTTGGTTGTGAGATCAGATCAGGCTATCATTGAGGCGCCGGAAAAGGAAGGCACACCTGTTAGTCAATGGAGTGTTAAAACTAGAAGCCTGTGCTAGTGGTTTAGCTAGCATGAATGGGTTCATCCCTCATCAAGCCATGCACACACACATGACCCCATCCATGCTAATAATATACGTCCTGTATGTATTCCCTCCTCGCCTCTTCCCACGCTGTTGTTCCTCACATTACCTCTCCTGTTGTTTGGTCAAGGGTGCCACGGTTTACTGATTGCTGGTTTCTCAGCCATCTCCATACACCCCCGCCCCACACCGTGCCTCTTGGCCCAGGGGCTCTCCCGACACCATACCTCTCTCGTCTCCGTTCGACCCACCACCATCTGCCGTCGCTCACATCCCAGCCGATCCTATGCTTGTTTCCGCTGCCCTCTTGGCACCCCTCACTTCATTCCCAGGAGCTCTCCCCTGCGCGGCTCATCGCTCGCCTCTGCTCCACCCACCACCACCTGCTGGCCCTTCGGGTCGCTACGTTTCTCAGCCTTCGGACAGTAAGAGCCCAGGGCGTTTTGAGGCAGCACAAGTCCACAGCCATTGTTGGCTGTTTCTGGCGTTTTATGCTTCTCTCTTATGTACTTCCCGCACTCCGTACCCCCATCCCTCACTCACTCTCTCCTTCGTCTTTACCGTGGAGCAATGGGCCGTATTCAAGATCCTCACTTCCTGTCTTCCTTGCTTGTCCCTCTAGGAGAGCGTGTTGGAGCATTGGGCCATATCCAAAATCCTCTCGGCATCTCAAACACCCGATGAAGTGCTTTACGATACCATAATAAAGCAGGTGAGTCGCTCTATAGCGCAGTGGAGCAGGTTCACTTCTGACACAAATAACCAACACCGAAACTTCTAAAAGCCATGCTGCTTATGCTTGCATGTTCTTCTTCGATCAACCCCTTGATGTGCATGCATGTCCCTCCAGGTTGACACCGACAAGAGGGGAAGCCTTGCGGTATCTTTTGCAGCCATAGCTACAGTCGCGTTTCACACGGGCCGGCACGAGCTGGCGACACGGTTACTGGAGAGGGAGGTTCACACGGGGAGGCAGGTGAGGAGGGCAGCGATGGGAGGATGAATCTGTGGTATGGGTGAGACAGTGGCAGGTGAGGAGGGCAGCGATGGGAGGATGAATTTGTGGTATGAGAGAAGTTAACAGTGGGCTTTTGCATACACAGGCATGAGCTTGGGCCGCGGTTATTGGAGAGAGTGAGGTTCACGCAGGGAGGCGGGCGAGGCTGGCAGGTGTGAGGAAAATACGAGGTGAAAGAGAGAGATGAGGAGGGAGGTTACTATCTGGTGGCGTACCCACAGAGGCAGGCATGAGTTTGCGGCAAGATTGCACCAGAGAGCTCACGGAACTCTGCACGAAGAGGCAGCGAGCGGTCATTGTGAGGAGAAGATAGGGATGGGTATGATGAAGGTGGTGTGTGAGGAAGGGGATTGGGTGACGAGAGGAAGGTGCGAGGAAGGTGAGAGGAAGGTGAGAGGAAGGTGCAAAGATGGTGATATGAAGGAAGAGTGAGGAGTGGATGATTTTCAGAACGGGGTGCTTTGTTTGTTCCTTTGAGAAAGAAAACTGTCACCTTCCCTCCTCCTGTCCCCCCCCCCCCTCTGCCTGATCTCTTTCGATACCCCTTCTCTACCTCGCACCAGGTGCGGCCACTGTTGGAGATCGGTGCATTTGAAGCAGCTCTATGGAAAGCAGAGGCGGGGCTTGTTTTGCCTCTACATCTCGCCCTCTCTCCCCTCTCCCCTCTCCCCTCCACCCCCTCCATTCCTCCCACCAGGTGCGGCTGCTGTTGGAGATGGGTGCATGCATTTGAAGCAGCTCGATGGAAAGCAGCGGCGCGACTTGATTTGGAGATGGAAAGCAGAGGCTGCTGTTGGAGATGGGTGCATGCCTTTGAAGCAGCTCGATGGAAAGCAGAGGCGCGAGACTTGATTTGCTCTACCTCTCGCCCTCTCTCCCCTCCCGCCTCTCCCCTCCTTCCCCTATCTCCCCACCAGGTGCGGCCACTGTTGGAGATGGGTGCATTGGAAGCACCTCTTTCGAGACAGAAGCTCCTTGTCATGATTCTCTCCCCCTCTCTCACCTTCGCCTCTCTCACCTTCTCCACTCCTTCCCAGGTGCGACTGCTGTTGGAGATGGGTGCATTTGAAGCGGCTCTATGGAAAGCAGAGGCGGGGCCAGACGCGGACTTTGTGTTCCAAGTGCTGTTCCAACTGCTGGATAAGGTGAGCTGGCTGGTTACTGCTGGATCCGACTGGCTCATGCTTGCTGCTGGCTGGTTGAGGTGTGCATTTGAGGTGCTCTGTGGAAGGCAGAGAGGCAGAATCAGATGCAGGCTTTGGTGTATCAAGTGCTGTTCCAGAAGCAGTTGGACCAGATGCTTGACAAGGTGCATGACGGGGGTTCTTGCAGTTGCTATGAATGTTGAAGGTGGATTTCACAAGTTGGAAAGGTGATTTTTGAGGCGCCTCAAAAAAGGATTTCACATGTTGGAAAGGTGTGGCGCAACAATTGACTCCCTTTGTTGAATCGTGCTATTCCGGAGTTTTGAGGGGCCTCCGAGTTTGTTTGTTGCGCCAATCCAAGCACCAGAGGAGCAGGTGTCTCAAGTGCTCAAGAGTCATTCTACTTTATCCCCCCACCGCTACAGGCACCACAGGAGCAGGTGCTTGAGATGCTCAAGAGCGATCTTACCATATCCCACCTGAAACAACTGCCCCCTCACTTCTAACCTGAACCACCATTGCCCCCCTGACCCCCCAACCTGAACCCCCAACCGCACAGGCACCAGAGGAGCAGGTATTTGAAATGCTCAAGAGCCACCCAACTGCCCGGAGCCTCTTCATCTCATACTGCAAGTGAGCCCATTCTTGTTGCCCTCTTATCTCCATACTGCCGAGTTGACATTTAATTCCACTCAAAAGTTTCCCTCTTATTTCCAGACTGCCGAATTGACATTTGATTCGACTTAAAAGTCGCCCTCGTTTTGTCGTACTGCTGAATGTAAGAGAGGGCACTGCATAGGTCATGCCATGGGTCCTCCCATGGCTTCTCCCGCCATTGCTCCTCCCATGGCTTCTCCCTCCATTGCTCCTCCCATGGCTTCTCCCTCCATTGCCCCTCCTTTCAACGCTCCAAGGTGCATTCACCAGTATATTCTTCCCCCCTTGTCTTGTCCCGCGGTTGCTACTCCCTCGGCCCGTCATTGCTCCTTCCTTCCTCCGCTCCTCCATGTCCCTTGTCCCCCTTCCTTGATTAAACTCCCTACTTTCCCATGAACCAAATGCTCTCTGCCTCTCCTCTTATCTGTCCCTCCTGTTATTTGTTCCTCCTCTCATCTGCCCGTCCTGTCTGCCCCTCCTGTCTGCCCCTCATGTCTGTCTCTTCTTTCTGCCCCTCCTGTCTGTCTCTACTTTCTGCCCCTCCTGTCTGTCTCTTCTTTCTGCCCCTCGTGTCTGTCTCTTCTTTCTGCCCCTCATGTCTGACCTTCCTCTTATCTGCCTCTCCTGTCTGTCTGTCCTTCTCTCTTCTCCCTGTTTCCCTCAGGAAGTCCGACATTCCTCTGCTCATGCGATTCTATGAGCGCTGCTCCATGCACCAGGTGATTCTATTGCATCAGGAGATTCGTCAGGTGATTTCTGGTAGTCACGTCAGGAGAATGAGGTAATGCTGAGGGAGGGACGGGATGGGCACCATGGTGGAGCGTGAGGGATTTGGAAGCAGGTGCAGAGATCACAACCGCCTTGCACTCCCCCTTCGACCCTTGTTCCTTGCAGTGCGTTGCAGAGCAGATAGCGCAGCAAGCAGCACAAGGAGTCTATTTTGATTTTTGAGTCGACTCAAAAATCACCTGCAGAGCAGATAGCGCAGCAAGCAGCACAAGGAGTCTATTTTGATTTTTGAGTTGACTAAAAAATCACCTGCAGAGCAGATAGCGCAGCAAGCAGCACAAGGAGTCTATTTTGATTTTTGAGTCGACTCAAAAATCACCTGCAGAGCAGATAGCGCAGCAAGCAGCACAAGGAGTCTATTTTTTAGGCGCCTCAAAAATAGACTCCTCACGTTGCAGAGCAGATAGCACAGATAGCGCAGCGCGTTGCAGAGCACTCCTCACGTTGCAGAGCAGATAGCGCAGCAAGCAGCAGAAGAAACAGGGTGCGTATGGCGGCAAGAGGGGGTGAGGGAGCTGGATGCAGCAGCAGAGCACTCAACCTACCCGCCCGTCCCACTCTCCCCTTGTTCCCCTCGGCCCTCGCAGTGTGTGGCAGAGCAGATAGTGCAGCAGGCAGCACAGGAGGCAGGGAGCGTGTGGCCGCAAGAGAGGGTGAGGGAGCTGGAAGCAGCAGCAGAGCTTTTCACGAGGACTAGGGACAATGGTTTTCAGGCCAAAGCAGTGGAAGATTCCGTAAAGCTTCTGCGGTGAGTGAGGGGTCTTGTGATGGTGATGGTGGTGATGCCACAGGAGAAGATAGGAGGGAGAAGCTAGGAGGGAGTTTGTTCCCCACCATCTCTTCTTCTCCCTCGGGTTACCGTTCTCCTGGGTGGTAATGGCATCCAGCTGTCTCGCACTGTCCTGCCTAAGCAGTGCTTGTCCCCCAACATCTAAGCAGTGCTGTCTCGCATTGTCTTGCCTGGGTGTGTAAGCAGTGCTTGTCCACTCCCCTCTTTCTTTCTCCCCTCCACCCCTTCTCTCCTCCCCCCCCTCCCCCATCCCTCCCATCCTCCCTCCAGCATTCAGCAACAGCTGGAAGCAGCAGGAACGGTGCAACTCACCCCAACCGCTGCTACTGCCACTGGTGCAGGGGAGGGCTCCCAAGCGCTTTCCTTCCGCTTCCCCTTCCCCTTCCCCTTCCCCTCCCCCTTCCCCTTCCCCTTCCCCTTCCCCTTCCCCTTCCCCTTCCCCTTCCCCTTCCCCTTCCCCTTCCCCTTCCCCTTCCCCTTCCCCCTCTTCTTTCCCATGCCCCCATCCCACCCCCCAGCATTCAGCAACAGCTGGAAGCAGCAGGAACGGTGCAGCTCCCCCCTCCCACTGCTACTGCCACTGGTGTAGGGGAGGGTTCCCCTTCCCCCTCTTCTTTCCCATGCCCCCATCCCACCCCCCCAGCATTCAGCAACAGCTGGAAGCAGCAGGAACGGTGCAGCTCCCCCCTCCCACTGCTACTGCCACTGGTGTAGGGGAGGGTTCCCAAGGGGGAGGGGAGGGGGAGGAGGGGAGGAGTGTGGTGGGGGCGAGTGTGAACGAGACGATTGCTGCATGCCTGGCAGCAGGCAACAACCGAGATGCTCAGAAGCTGAAGAGTGATTTCAAGGTGAGATATGTGTGGACTCTGAAGCTTGTTCTAGGGAGGGGTCTTGTTGGGAGCATGGTAGGGGCGACAGTGAACGAGACACTTGCTGCGTGCCTGGCAGCAGGCAACAACCGAGATGCGCAGAAACTCGAGTGATTTCAAGGTGAGATATTGTACATGGCAGTATAGCGGGTCGTCCTTTAGTGAGTGTGGGGGGGTCGAGATTGAATGGAAGTGGCTATAACGAGTGATCCTGTTGAATAAAGTGTTGGGATGACCTGGTGGGTTGGTGGCTTGGTAGGTTGGCGACTTCGCAGGTTGGTGGCTAGGAGGGTTGGAGTGAAGGATTCGTTTGAAGGGACTATGGGAGGGTTTGAAGGAGCTTGTGGATTTGGACCGGCAACCGCTTTCTCCAGCCCTTCCAACCACCCCTCTTCTCTACACTCAATGCCCCTTACAAGCAGGTCCCGGAGTGTTGCTTCAACTGGCTCAGGCTGCAACCCTAGCTCACTCCAAGGACTTGGAGGGGCTGGACAAGCTGTCCAAGGAGAGACGGCCTGTGGTGGGCTTGTGGGCATTCCTCCAAGAATTCCCACACTATCCCCCTGTACTTGTCATGCCCCTTACAAGCAGGTCCCAGAGCGCCGCTACTACTGGCTAAGGCTGCAGTCCCTAGCCCGGTCGAGGGGCTGGGAGGGGCTGGACAAGCTGTCCAAGGAGCGGCGGCCCCTTTGTTGGATTGTGGCCTGTTTTTCCAAACCTCCTGTACTGCTCGTGCCCCTTACGCGCAGGTGCCAGAGCACCGCTTCTACTGGCTAATGCTTCAATCTTTAGCTCGCTGCAGGGGCTGGGAGGTGCTGGACAAGTTGTGCAAGGAGCGGCGGCCCCTGGTGGGCCTGCAGACATTCCTCTCCCACCCCTTCCAACAACTCCCATGTCTACACTTCATCCCCTATACAAGCAGGTCCCAGAGCGCCGCTACTACTGGCTAAGGCTGCAGTCCCTAGCCCGGTCGAGGGACTGGGAGGGGCTGGACAAGCTGTCCAAGGAAAGACGCCCTCTGGTGGGCCTGCGGGCGTTTGTGGAGGCGTGTGTGGAGCAAGGGGCGCTGCTTGAAGCTGCCAAATACGTTGGGCGGATTGGGGACGCTGCGGACAGAGAGGAGGTGAGGGACGAGGGGGGCAGAGCGAGGGAAATGTGGACTCGTGGGCGTTTGTGGAGGCGTGTGTGGAGCAAGGGGCGCTGCTGGAGGGTGCTGAGTACGTTGGCAGGATTGGGGATGCTGCTGAGAGAGAGGAGGTGAGAAGGGTGGGGGGAATGTGAGGGACGGGAGGGGCGAAGGCTTCTAGAGCGCCTGCGGCCATTTGTGGAGGCGTGTGTGGAGCAAGGGGCGCTGCTGGAGGCTGCTAAATACGTTGGCAGGATCGGGGCCGCTGCAGACAGAGTGGAGGGGAGAAAGGGGGGGGGGGGGGGGGGGAAGAGGGATCAGAAGTGCGGGGCTGGTGTGGGGGACGGGAGGGGCGAAGGCTTCTGGAGTGCTTGAGGGCGTTTTTGGAGGCGTGTGTGGAGCTAGGAGCGAAGCTTTAGGGGGATATTAACATTAGCAGGACTGGGGATGCTGGCAAGAGGGAGAGAGAGCGAGAGAGTGGTAGTTGATGAGAAGGGTGGAGCGATTGAGAGGGTAGGGTTTCGGTGAGGCTGCTAAATTGCTGCCGTTGTTTCAACTGACTCCTTCCCCTCTACCGATGCCCTTACCCTCTGATTTGCAGCTCTCTCGGCAGTTCAACCTTCCAGACATGTCATCAAAAGCAGCAGCTGCTTTAGCAACAACATTCACTTATCCCCTTTCCCTCTACAACCCCTCCCCCAACCCCACCCCCAACCCCACCCCCACCCGATCCCCACGCCCACTGCAGCTCTCTCGCCGGTTCAACCTTCCAGACATGTCATCAGAAGCAGCAGCTGCCGCAGCAGCAGCGAGGGGCGAGGGCGCAATTCTCGGTACGTTGCGGTCTTTCGCTGCTGCTGGCAGTGCAGCAGGGGCGGCTGCTGTTGCGGCAAACCCTGCAGCTTCTTCCTTTTTTGGTTTCGGCAGCTTATCCTTCACTGGTAGAGGTGAAGGATGAACCCTCTGGATAAATATTCTGCAGGTTTTACAGAGTGCTAGAGTTAGCAATTCAAGGCACATTTGCAAATGTGTACGCTTAGTCCAATGTATCTGGTACTTGAATCTGGTACACGCCCAGCACAACATATATCCGACCTTCAGGATTGTCGGTGGCAATTTTCTTCGAGGAACATCTCACCGACATGGACAGCCGCCTCGTTATCCAATCACGTTCTTCCGCAAGCTTATCGCATCACCACCACGTATGCCACGTCCCCTGCCCGCAGAGTTGGTCCACCACCGTACCGCACATCAGCCGTTGACCCTTCCTTCCTTGGTGCCAGCTGGGCACAACCGCGCTCGCTTTGGTGGGATCTCTCTCTCCTGGTCTGGTCAAGGTAGGTGCATGAGTTACCCTTGTTGCCCGAGTCAGTCACGTCTCGGTTCATTCACAAAAGCCTCCTGCATCACTTCTGTTTCTAGCACGGGCAACTGCACCCTCGTTTCTAGAACATGGCTCGCACTGTTCCCAGAGAAGACAGCGGCAACAGTGGAAATTGCCAGCCATGACAGCGTGTCATATTTCGTCCGCCGGGTATTTCGGAAACTACAAATTCAGAAAGTACAAATTCGGCCCCCAGGTATTTCGAAAAATACAAATTTCGTGTATGCCAAAGCGGTAACATTCCAACACGCTTACAATCCCATTCTTCCCGTGGCGAGGTGCGTGAAGTGTCGGGGACGCTTTCAGTCCCAGCCGCCCAAAAACATGGGGTGACTGACTCGGGCAACAAGGGTACACTAGATTTCTAAAAGAGGTCTAAGTTGTTTTTTAGTTGGTTACTCTAGTACCTGACGCATTCAAATCGCTGGCAAATTGGGCCTGAAGGTAGGACCATGGTTACCCGTTTGGCAGGACCCTTGGAAGATGGAAGACATTCGTTGTTTCTCCCGTGTACCCCGGTAACTGTCGCACAATCGCACCCCGGTTCCGAGTCAACGTACAATTGTTCCTTCTGCATGTTCGCTCCCAGCAGTGTCGCAAGTGGTTGAGCCGCCCAAAATTGGGCCAGTCCAGGACGGGCCGTTGCCTGTAAATCCGTGCCAGTCGGACTGACGAGTGCATGGGGGCCTCTGACGAATGGGCGCTTCACTGGACGTCATGTGTACACCACATCTACGAAATCGCCTGCGGGCTCCGCCCGAAATGCTGGTGTCTGTAGCGAAAGTTGTCGCTGGTGTGGACCATTCCAGCGATGCAAAATTTGCATGGCGCGTGCCGCGCGCAGCGTGTTTGTGACGATCACACAATGCTGCTGGGGCATTTCGGATTCCGTTGCGTGCTTCGCTGGAGCACAGCACACACAATTCCGCGGCCATGTTCGAGCATGATATCTTTCAGCTTTTGCTCTGTGCTGCATTGCACTAGACATTTGAAAAACCAAATTTCTACGTTGTCGTGCTTGTGCATTGCGCTCTCTGGACAAACGCCCCGTGACGCATACCACCGTAATTGCCCTCGTTATTTTGCCGTTCCCGTCTAGATCCCTGCCCATAGTCTCTCATGGCCTTCGCGCTTCAACGGACCGCACTCCTCACAGCGGTAGTCGCGGCGGTCGCTCTGCTTCTAGGACTGTTGCTACCGTCGGTTCAAGCATCAGCTGGTGTCGCGTCTGTAAGCGCGCCGATGAACGGCACGACTCCGACTCAGTACCGCACGAGCGCCGCTGCTCTCGCGTGCAGCCGGTCTCCCGTTGTTGGCTTCGCGAAGAAAGTCACGCTCAAACCGGGGTACGTGCTGGGAATTCTGGTACAATCGAGTAAATTGAAAAAGGACTCGGTTCTGACACGCTTCGAGAACACCGTGTTTCGACAAGCCGTGCTGAGTGGAAAGTCAACTTTCATAAAACAGGCGCAGCAGCCGCGCTTTACATTGTAACCCAATATTCATGGGCAAAAACAACGACGTTTGTAAACACCGTGACGCCGAGGAGAAGGAAAAGAAAAAAAAGCAAGACATCTCCCAACGATGCGGCGTATTCCCCGGTGTCACCCCACGATACGTTCACGTGTTTTTCCGTGACAGGCTCGTGTTTCACTGGAAGGTCGTGCGCGGGAACACGCTCCGCGCGGCGATCATTGCGCAGGCCAGCAGCGGCGCGAAGAACGGGTGGATCTCGATCGCGTGGACCAAGAGCGCGGGGAAAATGTACCCCGCAGACGCGGTCGTGGGGAATCTTCCCGCGCCGACGGCAGTTAAGGCGTATGCAATGACCGGCTACAGCTCGTCGGCTGTAGTGCCGACATCGGCGTTCGCGGTGACGGCGACGACTGTAGCGAGGAAATCTCGATCCACTGTTATCCGGTGAGTTAACGGCTCGGGGTTTTTGTCTGGGGGAACTCAGAAGACAGACTGAGCGTACGGCGTGCGCGATGAGCGGCTACAGCTCGTCGGCTGTAGCTCCGTCGTCCGCGCTTGCGGTAACAGCGACGGTTGTAGCGAGGGAATCGAGGGCTACAGTCATCAGGTGAGCTGGCTCGGCTCGTCCCCCTAGAAAATCCATGCACTCTAAAACCCGGAACCCTACCGTCGAAACCCTGAGCGGGGACCCTGAACGTCGAAACCCGAAACGTCCAAACCCTGAACCCGAACTTGGAACCCAAAGCCTCGTTGAGAGTCGTGACCTATTGCCTGTAACCAACCCATCTAAGGGTAACGGCGAGAGAGCAGTGGAGCGAGCGTGTCCTGAGAAGCTGAAGGTGTGGAGGGGAGGGAGGGATTGACTGTGTGCGTAATGCGCCTGTAACTTCCCTCCCACCCCTCAGGTTCACGCGCAGAGAATCGTCCGGTCTGTCTCCGATCAACTACGCCGGCAGCGAAAACATGGTCCGCTGGGAATACTCGCCCTCCTGTCCCTCTCGTCCCCTTCCACGCGCCACGCAATGGTCCGACCTTGTGCGCAAAACACCTGCCTCTTCCCTCCCGCCCATCAGGTTCACACGCAGCGGCTCGTCCGGTCTGTCGCCGATCAACTACGCTGGCAGCAACAACATCGTCTGGGCTTACTCGTCCTCAGGCTCTCAAACCCTCGCCTACCATGGGGGAAACTGGTACGAGCTCGGTAACCCCCTGACATGAACTCGCGCGGCTTGACTAGGCCACTTCACACAACGCTCATCCTGCTCGGCCCCAATCCCTGCTTGCTCACATGTTCCAGAAACGCTCATTCTGCTTGGTCCTTGACCCGAATCCTGAATACTTATCCAGAGTGCTACGAGAGACCCATATCCTGCTTTGCGCCTAGAGTAACCCTGCCTTGATTCCGCCCCACTCCCTACGGAAACCCGTAACCCGTGATTGCTGGTAATGCTTGGCAGGGGATCTGGGACTATCAACCTGGCTTGCAGTGTCTGAGGGATTTTTTCCGTGAGTTCATCTCGGCTACGTTCGGTTGGCGAGGTTTTCTTGTGGCTCGCTCGCTATGCTGTATTGGCTTCCTCGATCAGAGGCGATCTCCTTGATCGTCCCCTAATGTTTGCAATGAGCTAACTATGCGGTTCTAATCATGTGCTATACTTTTTATAGAGTAGCTAAAAGCAGTGGAATTCACTGAATTCACTCATTCTAGTCATTTTCGTTCCAAATATAAGATGGTATCATGAGTAGGTTAGGTCCCACCCGCCCACCCGCGCTTCTGCCTTAAGTCATAGCGCCTAGCCGCCCCGCTAGCCCTGCGTGTTAAAATTATATATTGAGTTATATAATTGTTAGGCTTGGTAGGTTACCGAAACTTACTGTAGAGGGTACAAACCCCTCCTTGTACCTCTCTCTTTCTAGTCCACCTCTCTTCTTTCTCGACATTCCCTGCCTACTCCTAGATCTACTTTCCGCACGCCATTCCATGGCGTCCTTCCTTCCTTCCTAGCTAAGCTAGGTTCCTAAGTTTGGTTCCTATCCTAAGCTTCTTTGATATGGTTTCAGAGCAGGAGATCCTCCCTGCTGGACCGTCTCCTCACGCTTCCGCCATGTACTCCTCACCCTCATTCGCTCGCGCGGCCATGGCGGCCGCGTTTTGCTGCAGTGGCCACGTCGCGATGGCACTGGCCGCGTCGTGCCGCGGCCGGCTCGACGCGCTGCCGTGGAGTCGGGCCGTCGTTCTGCCGTCGCAGCGTCGACGTCCCGCTGCGGCATCGACGCTGCTCGCTCTGCCGTCGCGATGTCGACGTCCTGCTGCAGTATCGACGCCGCTCTGTGACGGCGCCGTCGGGCCGCAGCCGATTGCGCGACGCCTGTGACGCCGCCATCGCCCGCACGCCAGCTGTCCCCCTCTCCCTCTGTCCCTTCCTCTTATCCACAGTCGCTGCAGACTCTCGGCAGTCGTCCCCCTGTCGCGGAGGTTGGACACGCCGCCGGAAGGGCGGGGGCCGCTGCACTCACCGCCGCCGTAAGCCGAAGCCGTCGCCGTCGCCACAGCCGTCGCCGCAGGCCATATGCCGCCGCACGCCCGTCGTCGCCGTCGCTGTCGCCGCGGTCGGGACTGCAGCCGTCGCCATCTCCAAGGCCTTTTGGATAGGATAGGATAGGATATCAAAGAAGCTTAGGATAGGAACTAAACTTAGGAACCTAGCTTAGCTAGGAAGGAAGGAAGGACGCCATGGAATGGCGTGCGGAAAGTAGATCTAGGAGTAGGCAGGGAATGTCGAGAAAGAAGAGAGGTGGACTAGAAAGAGTGAGAGGTACAAGGAGGGGTTTGCACCCTCTACAGTAAGGTTCGGTAACCTACCAAGCCTAACAATTATATAACTCAATATATAATTTTAACATTGCGCCCCCGTTGCATAGCGCCCAGCCCCCGCGGCCCTGCCCCCCTTCCTTCTAGCCGCCCGTGGCCCTGTCGGCCTCCGTCGCCTGGCGCCCAGCCGCCCCGTCGCCTAGCCACCCTGTGGCCCCGTCCCAGCCACCCCGCAGGCCCCCCGTCGCCTAGCCGCCCCGTGGCCGCATAGCCCAGCCGCCCCGCGGCCCTCGTCGTCCAGCCGCCCAGTGGCCCCGTCGTCCCAGCTGCCCCTGCGACCCCGCCATCCCAGCTACCCCCGCGGCACAGTCGCCCAGCCGCCCCCGCGGCCCTGTCGTCCCAGCTGCCCCACGGCCCCGCCGTCCTAGCT